CGGGCACTCTGGAAGTGAGAGTGACGGTGGGATTTTCTCTCGCTGCAATCTCTAAAAAATATTTTGCAAGGAGCACTGGGCTTGCCACCAGTGAGCACCGTGGGCAACGAGGGTCCCCTCCTTACTTCTTCGTCGGCGACGAGGCCTTCCCGCTGAAGGAGCACGTGATGCGTCCATACGCAAGACAAAGTAAGTGAAGAATGTATGAAAGAAAGGCTTAGTGCTTTTCAGTTTATGTGAAAGAGCTGTGGAGAAGGTATGCTACAGGGAACCCTGTTGTGATTTTGGACATCACGTAGGTGGCTCAAGGCATCATTACCTGTTTGTGTTTACCATTTTTTAAGTAACAACATAAGCTTTCAGGACTCAAGCCGTTGTATTGTAGCTCTTACGTGCCATCTTATTTTTACTAAGGAATTGTTGCACCGTGACGTGTCTGTAGAAATGCAGACTATGCATGTATTTTAGGGGAAAGTGTTGGCGCACCGCTCTCGGGATTGGACACAAGTTTAATGTTGTGGAAAAAAAAGTGCTTGCACTGGTACAATTGCAACACATCGCACCCCCGCAATATGTAATCCCAATTATGCCTCAAACGTGGGTGAAAGCAGGACCTCGGTACTTACATTAAAAAAAAAGAGGGAGGTACAAATTCCGGCGTTATACGACTCAACAAATGACCTGCGAGATTTGTAAAAGCAATATGCAATAGGGATGTGTTTGACTCGGCAATCATGCTTCAGAAGCATGCAAAACTGGTTCAGTTGGTGCAATGCGAGAAGAGCCACCAAAACTCAGAACGAGGAGGAAAACAAGGGCGAACTCTTTAAGCACACACTGGCGACCAGTGCGCTTAATTGCGCTTCCTTGTGTGATCATTGTTTTGAATTTCGAGATTTTTTTCTTGCATGGATGTAGGCAATTGCAGTTATACAGTTTATATTTAGGAGACCTTTGAAGGTCTCTTACAGAAACATCTGTAATGGCAAGTTAGCATCTCTGCTGGCCCTTTGAGACAGTGCAGGGCGGTCCGCATGTTTCATTTGTAATCACCAATCATAGCGTTATGTTATATAAGGCTTGTGAGGTTATTTTTGTTACAATGCTCAGTGTCTTCTTTTTCAGCACTGCACGAAGACGACGACAAGTCGTACGAGCGTCGAGTCTTCAACTACAGGCTGTCCAGGGCACGCCGCACTATTGAGAATTACCTTTGCATTCTGGCACAAAGGTGGAGGGTGCTACGCCGACCCATTAAGGCGAAAGAAGTCAACATAAACGCATACATGGAGCATGCATAGTGCTACATAACTTTCTCCTTAAGGAGTCCACAGCATCCTCCACTGCCTATTGCCCGCCTGGTGCCACAGACAGCGAGGATTGGGAAGGACATCTTTCACCTGGAAGCTGGAGAGATGAGGAAGCAGCCGGCGGAGCGCTCATACCATCAAGGCCTACCGGCTGCAATGCTGCGAGGTATGCTTTTATTCAATTTATGACTGATGAGGTGCCGTGGCACATATAGTGCACGACCGACAAAAACTGAAGGATGCAGAGAGGATATAAACGAGAGGCACACATGTGTTTTGCATTAGTAATGGGGATTTAAATAGTGCTCGGACAGTAGTTTTTGTGTAAAAGCATACGACAAACACACATTGTAAAAATTGTTGCTCTGCAGTGAAGTTTTTAGAATGAACGTTTTAAAAGAAAACATGTAAAGACATGAACACTACATGTATGTCAAATCGTCTGTGTTGCTCAAGAGCTAGTAAATTTTTACTACTTTGAATATAAGCACCTGTTGGTGAATGTTCTTCAGTACTACCACACATCAAAGCAAGGGAATGTGTACTAATTCACAATGACAATATGAAGAAAGAAGTGTAGTGAAAGAATACCTTGATGCGGGCCTTCAAACCGGAACTTCTGACCTTCAAATATACCGTTCTATGTTCTACCAAGGTAGCTTCTACCAAACTCCCCGGTCACTTTATGGGAGATTCGTGGGCACAAGTTTTGTCCCTAGAAGTGCCGATATTTACGTCCATTTGGTTTCTTCACATTTATAGCATAATACCAACAGCATCCTACATATTTATGTTAGTTTTTTGTTTGTTCCAATTACGACTGTGTTTTAACATCCATGATTTTTTTACTTTCTATTGTAGCTGAATATATGTTAACTAGGAGCAATAAAAAACATAGAGGTCAACTTTCTTCCAAATTGATGCGCACAGCCATGTGCCGCGTAAGACGAGGTTTTAACAAAAGAAAACGATATTCACCTTGAGTACGTTGCTGATGCCTATTGAACGGGTCCATCAATTATGGTCGATTTCGAACTGACCGAGCTACATTTCATTAGGTTTAACTGTACAGGGCAATCATTCTCTGAAAAGTGTACAATGGTTTTGTCCAAAAATGGAGCAGTTGCTGACGTTGGCTGTCACGGAACTTGACATATCAAAATTTCTAAAGTTAATCAGTAAATATGCATTCTATCACAACCTGTGATAATGCTGTAGAAGACAGGCAGCAGAGGTAGCACTCATTAATACATCAAAAATGAGGAACACTTTGGCAATATAGCGTCATTACTGCGACACTGAAATCCAACTATGCGTGAGATTTTCAAGCTCAGCATGCTCCTTTTACAGTGTGTGTCTTCCATCATGGCTGTGCCGACAGAAATTTCACATGGCACTTATGCGTTGTAGGTATGCCAAGGAAGTGCGAGATAAATTAGCGCACTACTTCGTCACAGACGGTCAGGTGCCTTGGCAGGACAAAGTGGTGAACAGGACTTGAGGCATACAAGGTAAAGGTGGGTTGTAAATGCATTTTATTGCTTACAGAACTTATGTACATAGCATCTTTTTAAGCTAAACAAACAAGAGAAAAATCACCCGTGACACAACAGATACATTACAGAGAAAACTGTCATGTCCAAATATAACCATGAAAACACAAAAATAAATAATCCATGTTAAAATATTTGAGTTATTGCACGGTTATCACTACAATTATCACAGAAATAAGTTGCCTTAAAGGGTCATGAGGCCCAATTTTCAACCATAACGTGTGTTGTATGGGCTGATTCTTGTATGTTCACATACAAGCTGGCAGACTTCGAGCGATTTGGTCAAGCTGTTAATTTTAAATCGCATATTTTTATAAACGAGCTAGTTGCCTGACAGTTGCGCAATACTGACGCACTCACTATCCATGACATCACGAAGCCGCTTGCTCGACAAGCTGCTGCACAGTGTGCATTCTGGCAGACGGTCGTGTTCCGTCATCAACTGCGCTTGCAATCAAATTTTTTCGCATTGTTGAACTCTCCACTAAAGCTAAATGACTTCCAGGGGTCGAAACATGGCTACTGCGTCAGCAATGTAGCGCTGATACTTGCAGCAAATAATTTCGAATGTCAAAATGGGTCCTGTGAATGTGCAATGCGTATACTATTTGCCATTGCTCCTTCGGCTTGTGACGTCTCGCACGCCATGACAAAACGGCGGTCACTTGTGGTAGGTTTTAAGTTTTAGGAGCCGAGCACTTCTACGGCATATTTTTGACTAAAATAATCTCTTAAGGCCCCTTTTCACACGTGTACTAGCGCATTTTACTCTGTAGTTTTGTTTTTTGCTGACAACCGTTAATTGTTGAGTGACCAGTCATGACCCCTTTAAGTTAGGACTAGAAATGTGAACACAAGATAAAAAGGTGGGTGTCATTGACATTATATAAACACTTCAATTTGCTTCACTGCTCTGACGCAATTTCACCTCTGCTTCATACAGCATGAGTTCCATTGCATGCATTAAATCTTGTGCAATGTGCATTGGTAGCTCCCTGAGGCGTGCATCGGTACGTAGAGCGAAGAAACCAATGTTATCTTTTTTGATGACCCTCTTGTTCGCTCTGATATCTTCAAGGTGCTCCATGCACGCTTGCGCCACAGCTTCATAACTTGTGCCCTCTCCTGCATTGCTGTAAAGCAAGTGTGATCTGTGATTCATGTATATGATTGCTTTAAGGTTGCATTGTTAATTCATAAAGCACCATTTAGCAAAAAAAAAGGTGTGAGAACGACAAGGTAGAAACGGAAAAAACAAGACAGAGCACTGACTTTCAACTGATGTTTGTCATTTTCGGCACTAAGAAAGAAAAAAATATAGAGCAACTGAAGCAAATTAAATAGCACACTTAAAAGATAATTGTGTCCATAGGGCGTCTACCTCTCTGTTAGAAATAAATGGGCTTTTGATCTTTAAAACGGACACTCGTGTTTTGGGACAGGGTGCTGATGTTCTGATATTAACGTCTAAATATTACGGTAGTTACATGGGTTCTGTCTGCCTTAGTATAATTGTGCCCATAATAAAAACATCAGTTTAAAGTCAGTGCTCTGTCCTGTTTCTTCTGTTTCTACCTTGTCGTTCTCACACTTTTTTGTTACTATGTCTGTGTACCAACTTGACCGAGCGTTAGCCTTATAAAGTTTTGTATTTTGTAGCATGTGCAAGATTGTTAGAAAAAAATCTGCAAGTTTATCCTCTAAGAGTTAGCGGTATATCTCACCTAGCGCCCTCGCAGGTCCGTTCTCGTCTTGCCGAGCGTGACCTGCAGTGAATTATACATATTGCTTAAATGTAAAAGTTGTGATTGTGATCTCTTGCCAGGAGTACCTAAAATAATTTTTTTCGTTTACACACCGTTTTGATGGTGGCTCCTCTCTTGAGGTGGTTGCTGAAGCATCGCTGCAGAAGGAGGCAGTATTATTATACAACTTATAAAGTGTTACAATTGCATGCAGCAGAATCTGGTGTGAAAACATTAGGCACATTCTCCAAATGTGCTGAAACGTGAAGAAGGTTACAAATATGTTTTTAAGATTTAATAGATTGGCTATTTATGCATGCCCTTCATTTGTCATCACTTAGGTGGATTCATAAAGGTTTTACTCATTGCTGCAGGTGTCGACACCAGTCTCCTCAGCCGTATCAGGGGTACGTTCCGGTTCCGCTGCATGGCTTGGCCGAGGCTGTGATCTGCAGTGATAAAAACTTCTCTCTATGTGTTTGATGATGCCACTAGTACATGAACACTTTCAGGCATTCTTTGGGAGTTAAAATGCCATTATGATTTCACTCAACACGAGGTTTATTTATCATAAGAAGTCACTTGCGTTACCTCTTGATTGAGCACTGCTGTATGGAAGGTGTGCATACAGAAGTTTAATGTGCCTTTTGTGTTAATAAAATGCTATGTAGGCTGCGCATCTATATGAGAGCAAGAGATATTGTCACGGAGATGAAGGAAAGGTAGAGGAAGAACTCAAGCAGCTGATAGACACGCGAGGGTGTTAATCAACCATTGTGAATCTTGCCTCTGGGTTTTCCCCTGTAAACGCATTTCGTACAAAAGTCTCTAACCCCGTAACAATATCTCACTGGCTATGTGAAAAGAAATTTATACAGTCAATCCTAAATGGCTGTGCAAACGATGTGTCTGATGAAACTGTGCCTGCTATCTTTATGTTTCTTTAGCACATGCTGCATACGACTTTTGCAGCGTCATTTTACTGCTACGAATGAGTGATTGCTTCACATTATTCAGCTCACTTGTATTGCATTCAGCGCTGGGCACTTGATCATAACGAATTGACTTGAATGTGTTGCCAGTGTGGGCAGATAATGCATTAGTTTGCTTACTTGCGGCCTGTCGCTGATGAATACTTTGCTTTTTCAGAAATATTTGACGTTGTACAATAACCACATTTACACAGAAACAATGCCTGTGCCCTCATGTATTCCTGTGTGCTTCTGTTCAGTGTTGAGTGCAGAATGTATTTAAAAAATGCAGTGGTTTGGGCAAGCTAACGACTTAAACACCGCCTTTCAAGCACACTTGTATTTTTCATAATTTATTAAAGTACAATCACCTAGTAATAAAAAATAATGTTTCTAGGTTCAAGTCCATGCGTGTACAGCTTCAAGTGCATGCACATGGTACCGAACATTTTTGAGCATGCTCACCTCTCGTTAGCCTCTTCTGCTGTGATGTGGCTGCTACAAGAGAACATGCAATATGTGATTCTGTTAGTGCTATTGTGTGCACCTTTAGAGCATTTTCACTGTTTTGCTACAATATAAGTACTTATGCTGCATTCTTTCAATGAATATGTGATGCTTGCCTATGAACAGCCTCATGATACATGCATTAAGCGATCTCTTTAGATTTTTAGATTTTGTATTAAGCCTTCCCTCTTTAGATAACTGAGAGCCGAGAATGACACAGAAGTACACTCAATTCTCTCAATCTTACTGTTCTGTCTTCAATATTCTACTTTGTGAAGCTGTCCGCGTGCCACTTGTACGGTATGCTATATTTTTGCGTTGTGCTGATGCATTGTGCTATGCTAACCAAAACATTTCATTTTCAGTTTATTGGAGGGTAAGCATTATACATTACCTTTGGTCAATGGCACTCATGTTGCACAGTACCCTGAAAGAATGATGCACAGAGTTATTCTTCGTAAATGCAGGTTAGGTAGCCACAATTATTCGACATCAAAACAGCCCATTGTCACCATGCATGATCACATGCATGCCCACTGTGAATTACCTCTTGGGACTTCTATGTTTATGTGCAGTGTACTTATGTGTATTGATATGTGTGTATTTATGTGTATGTATAACAGTCATGAGAATTAAATCAACTTTTTTTTTGTTTTGTACTCAATAGTCAGATAATATTGAACTTACGCAACAGGCTCAGATTCTCCTTCCATTAATTCAAGTATGGCCTCAAAATGGGGCCATTTTATTGTTGGAATGTCGGCTGCTCTGGCTCCACTTCTTTGTTTTTTACGTATTCCTTGTTGTTTCCTTTTGAAGATATCACGCAGGTTCTTAAATCGTTTCTCAACAAGGACACCTGAAAACAAAACGCTTGCTTAAGAATGTATTGTGCATATTGTATCGCTGATAAATTTTCTACTTTATTTCAGCACAATTGTAAGCGGTCTTTATTTACTTTGCCCAGATCATTTCGGCTGCAGAACCCTAGAAATCTGAATATCGGGCATCAAAATGAATCGCATGCCATCTAAACTTAAGTATTGGTAGGGGCTTAAACATCGCAAAACCACGACATTATTGAGGGAACCTGCAGCCGAGGGTTCCAGAAATGCCACCCACCTAGTGTTTTGGACCGTCCACCTACATGTGCACGACATCACAGCTGACGCAATAATTAGTTGCGCAAAGAGATATGTACACTGTTTCTTGAAGGTAAGCATGTCTGCCAAGCTATTGTAACAAAGAGGCTGTTTATACTGTCGGCAATTGAAGTTCACTTGCAAAAAGTCTATTTCATGAACCAGCACATGATATCTTTATCACCTTCACAGTGAAGCTTTCTAAGCATCACTGCATTGTGCAAAACTCCACAGGTGAGTATATACCATTGGTATCGGCCAAGCGCAACTGTCGTGTACCGCGGGAGCGATTGTTGTCCAACAAAAGCAAACATGGTAAATAACTTGAAAAAAAGGATGAAACTAACTAGAGTGATATGACCATTTTCGAGAGAAAGAAATGCAACAAACATAGTATATGACTGAAAGTGTAACATAGAAAGAGCGAGAGGAAGGAAAATATAAAAAATAAAGGGACCAAAACATGAAAACATACCAACACATAGAAGCAGACATGAAAAATTGACTTTAAAATATAGAAACAAAGAAAACAAACAAAAACGAGGCCCAGTAGGAAGCGGAGAGATATAACCTCTGGGAATAAAGGAATAATTTAAATATAAAGGAACCAATAGACAAAAACACAGGAGAGGAAAGGAACAGTTGTGAAGAAATGAGGATTAGATATGGGCCACATTACAGAGGAATAAATTCCCCCATCTGTGCTTTCCTTCAGTGTTCGCCCAGCCACTAGAACACTACCATATCTTTTTTTATGATTGCATGTCATTTAGCATAAACAGCATGTCTGACTCCCAAATCCGCACATTTGAGAGTGCTGCTAAACATGTTTTGTATGTCTTGATTACACGCTCCTCTATGGAGTGCACAAAATGCGCTCAAAGCAGAAGCTACTTTGCATTCTTTTTTAAAACAGCACAACTGCAATGCATAGGCACAATTAAAGCGTAACACCCCCCCCTCCCTCACCGTGCACTAGATATTATGCATTGCAAATGCCGCACGTTCACAAAAGCACACATTCCCTTGGCCAGATGATGACGTACAAACACAGCAAGGAGCATGCGCTAGGTGAGTTGGCAACTGCGAGCAGTATTTCGAACCTCTGAGCTTTATTATCAGCTTTACAATTTTTTGTCACGTCGATTTCGATGTTTAAAAAAGTCGCGAGAACAAACGTGCACACAACTGCGCTCGCATATATCACAGTCAATACATCTAATGCAAACTAACCATGTAACCTTGCAGTACAAATACCAATATTTTCATTGTTCATTTATAGGCAACGCCAGCCATGCAGTACACGCCTGTTCTTGCTTACATAGCTACTCAAACAAAAAATCTCGGTACTTACTCGACATGCTGAACATGCTTCCGATCTTGTTGCGAACGACGGGCCGATCCCGCCGAAGCCACCACTGTTGCGAAGCCACCTCCGAAATCCCACCGCTGACCTCCACTGTTGAGAAGCGTACCGATCCCGCCGCTTCCACCACTGTTGCGAACGACGGGCCGATCCCGCCGAAGCCACCACTGTTGAGAACGACGGTGCCTCCGTGGCTGCCACCGATGCCACCACTGTTGCGAACGACGGCGACGCCAACACGGTCCCGGAGGCGCCACTGCTTTCAACTCCGCCGGGAAGGTCACCAGCCGTTTGGTAGCGTATGTTTCTCAGCTCGCGACAGCTTCTGCGCAGGGCTGATAAGACGAGCGGACGAGACGACGGTGAGTTAAACAAGGTTTATGTACAGCATATATACAGAAGCGTTACAATTTCGGCACTGGGGCCGACAGAGACTCGAAGAGCCGAGCTCTCCTTTCTAACACATAGGTCAGCCCTTCGCCTAAGACCGCCGACTCACACACATGTCGGCTCTCCGACACGGGGCCTCCTCTCACTCACATAGGACCGCCGATCGCGACGCGCCGCAGGGCTTCTTTTATTTACACCGGGTCCAACCAAAATGTCCAATCAGAAGCGCCGCTGGTCGTCAGGGCAGATTCCTCCAATGGGGGGTCGCCGCGCCATGCGTCAGACCACCAGACACGAGAACGCCGGCTCGCTGTCACGTGCGCCGGTGACTCAATGCACGTGGGCCAGAGACGCGCCGCGCGTGTTTACGCCGTTCGCGCCAGGCAGACTGCGGGCTGGCCTTGACCCAGATTGCCTTTTTCAGAGGCACGGACGTTTGACGAGGACTCGCTGGCATAACAGCACCCCCGCCGCCAGACAATGCACCGGAAAGACGAGCTGCTTCCACGGGGCTCGGATGTCAGGTGCGCTCGTTCGCCAGGTCCCTCCAGGTTCGCCTCCAGGGCCATGGGAAGAATACAGCTCCAAACTGTTCCGGGAACACATCCCATTTTTGACGACGGATCCCAGCTCTACTGGCTTGTCGCCACAACTTGTCGACCAGCTTCACTCGTCTCTTCTGACCATCTTCGGCTTCAGCACTTGTCGATGGTTCTGCAACTTGCCAAGAACGGATCGACAACAGACAACACACGACACACGCAAGTGCCCTCGGTCACCCGACAGAACACCAGACAAAGTATAGTACAACATATACCTATCTACGTGTCTATCGGAATTTTGTTCCCTCTACATCAAGAGGCACATGTGGGACACAAGACTCTTAAAATGACAACTCAATTTTTTTTTCCACGTACAACAACGTAACGAATTAGAATACCACAAAGTTGGCCCCTTGAGATCACTCTGAACGAGAGCGCTCAGCCCAGGTCGTGATGAGGTCAAAATTTTGCCCCGAATCGCCAGGGAGAAACCGAAAGGTTGAGAAGGTACTAGCTGGAACGCACTGCTCAATGCACCTGCATTAGCGTTCACCTTTCCTTTTTTTTTTTAGCGAACGTCAAAGTTGCGCTGTGGAGCAACATGCTCCACTTCAGTAACCGGCCACTTTTAGGCGACGATACCTATGCGGCACCAAGAGCGGCTCACACTTTCGACGTTGCACAGGGGAACAACGATACGGCTTGCTACGGATTGACTCCTCACCGCTTAGGTCGATATCGTGTTCGATCACCCTCATGTTTCCGGGGTGGTCCGAAAACGCGTCTTCAAACTCGGAACCAATCTTTCTGAGGTCCTCGTTCTCAGGTCCTCCTCCACTTAAGCTAGGCTCTAGGTTTATCTGCTCCCGGATTACTTTCGATCCCCCTTCGGTTACCTCACTAGAACTCAAATTTTCTGCTTCCTCTTCCACTGAAGCATTCAACAGCAGATTTACGACCGCTTGATGTTGAACGTATGGTTTCATCAAGTTGTAAATTTGGTCCGGCCGCCTTCCTAATTTCACTTCATAATTTGAATCGCAAGGCTTCGATAATACGTTGGCGGGCCCTTCCCAATCAACCTCAAGCTTGTTCCTTTTGGATGGCTGCAGCCGCATTACCTGATTATCAACTTCAAAAGCACGCTTCTTCACCGATTTCTCGCAGTGCTCCTTCGACAGCACTTGTGCCGCGTTTTTGTGGCTTTCCACTAGCGCTTCAATCGAGAGGTCCTCACGCTGCTCTCGAATGAGCGTCTCTCGATCAACTCTCGGCAGCTCGCTCCAACTTTCCGCTGCAGGCGAGAGCGTTGCAACCCTCTCGCTCTGACTCAATGGCGCCATGTCGTCTCCCCCTACCGCGCCGGCCGCGCCGACCGCTTTCGCGACGGGCCGCTCGCGTGACTGCTCACATGACTCATGCGGAAAATTTCCTTTCTGGGGTTCCGTCGACCCGCCGACAAGGTCACTTGAGAGTTCACTGCATTGAACCAGATCAAGCTTCCGCGCTTGCGATCGCGTGAGGGCCATGCACGCTAAGTTGGGGAAGAACGATTTGCCCTGCTCTTTGAGAAGCTGCTCCGAGTTGTTGGAGAAAAGATAAGGAAAACGATCGTTTAGCGCGGCAGACACAGCCGCTTCGGTGCGAAGCATACCGAACGGGCCTTCAATGACAACCGTGGCGATTGGTAAGCGAACACTCTGCTCCTTGGCGACTTGCCTGATCCACGCGCATTCTCCTGTTAAGTCATCCGGAGACACCAATGAAGGATGGACAACGTCCATGGTTGCCGCTGAGTCTCTAAGTGCTCGGCACGTCTTCTCATTCACCCTAATTTCTTGCAGATACGGCTCCAACAACCGCATGTTTTTTTCTGATTCGTGAATTGTTGCGAAGGCAAACTTTTCCTGACAGTTTCTCGCGATGTGCCCTTCCTTTTTGCAGTTGTAGCAGATTAGCGGCTTCCGTTTGTTTTCCGATTCAAATGCCTGTGTTGTAGAAACCTCACTCGATT